TCCTTGGCCAAGGCCCTGGGCAAGGTATTTCGCAAACCACCTATAAGAAAACCAAGGAAATTGTCATCGCTATTGCTGGCTCCGCTATTGCTGGCTCGACACTTGTTGCATTGATAAAAGCAGCAGTGCTGAACTCACTGAAGCAATCAACTCAATGTTCAAGTGGTAAGAGAATTCGGACATATGTCTTGCATAGCTTGTAGATGTCGAAATACCGACCGACCTTGTCCATTCCGATTCTTATCGAATGATAGAGTCGGCGCGAGAAACCATGTGGAAGTCAAGATGGTTTACAAGAGGTTGGACCTTACGAGAGTTGGTCGCTTCACGAAAGTTGTGGTTTTATACCCGATCCTGGGTCGCTATTGAATCGAAAATGGAGCGTTTTATTGCCAGCATCACCGGCATTCCCATCGAAGTTCTTCTCTCAGGGTTAAGTGACGACATCAGTGTTGCACAGAAATTGTCCTGGGCTTCAAGTCGGACTACCACAAAAGTCGAAGACATAGCTTATTGTTTGATGGGTCTTTTGATGTCAATATGCCATTACTCTATGGGGAAGGCGAGAAGGCCTTCATGAGGCTCCAGGAGGAGACAATACCACGATCCGATGATGAAACTATACTTCTATGGAGAGGCAAAAGTGGCGATGACTCCACATATCGCAGCCTTTTTGCACGACACCTGGTGGAATCTTCCCACTGTGAAAAATACAATTCGCTATCCAATGATCCAGACCGAACAGTTTCCTTACACCATTACCAATTGTCGGTCTCCAAATGGATGCAATACTTTTACCATGTACAGCGGTGAACGATTTGCTCAAGCAATACCTATTTCTGAATTGTTTTCTCACATCACAATTTAATCATGTTCCATTAGACGCTCTCTGGATTCCGGTATTCCATTGCGGGGAAAACTTTGACCACCGACACATACTTTCGATACTTTTAGTAAAGCTGAAGGGGGATGGAACTCATTTTCTACAATTTGCTCGACCCAGCCCTGGTATCGCCGTCCGCCTTCCAATCCCCCTCCTCGATACTCTGCTCTTCAAGTCTAGTGAACCCCGAAGCATGTCGGTCCGCCAAAAAGTCCGAGTAGCAGATATACCCCTGACGTACCCAATTTTTGGGTTCCAGATAGTATCCAACTCAGACGTTCTGAAGCCCCATCAAGAGCGGAAATATGGTGGTATAAGTGAATGGGATGGAGAATTTCTGGCACCTATCTCGCGATATACTCCTTCTTACGCGGTAGCTTTTGTCAGCATTGGACATCTTGGGCCTCGCGATACGTCCGACAAAGGATACTACATAGCCATTCCTATCAACGCCGAACCCAACAGAGGGAACACCGGCCCGCCGTTGCATAGAATTTTTGACGGAACACAGTCCTGTCCAACTCTCGATGATATGTACAAAACGGAGTTTGATGAAAAACACCCAAGGCCTCAAACAGGCATCTATTTGCACGATCCCGGTTTAGCGTTAGTCGAGGATCGTTTCATTGCAGAGGTAACCATGTCATTTCGTTTATGAACTGTGGTAAAGGAACCACCAGTGGCATCCTCAAATCTAATGCGGGTTTTCATGACTTGCTCGATTGGCAAGATTGATTCCTGGTGTACCGCAGAGGAGACCTTAAGTTGCGTAGCGGGTGCCTTTTTGGCAGGAACGTCCACGCCTCGCTAGATCCTTCGATGGACACCCTTTACTCTGGACCAGCTTTTCTACTGAGAGCTACCTTCAAATTTTCCCAAAGTCTATCCTGGAATCACATCTCATTTGCCTCAACACCGACATTTGGTCTGTCGAGTCCTGGCCACCCCGCCAAGCTCTTGAATGTCCCTTGGACTACCTTTATATCGCGATATGACGGCCGGCGCTCAGCTAAAGCGTCTCAATAATCTCAGAAACGCATCTCTGTACAAAGAGGAAGCGTTAGTGAAACGATGTATACATCAGATGGTGGCTTGGGGATGGCTGATCGCAATTTAGTACTTGGAAGGCTTAGTACGATATCTGCTTTCAAAACGAGGTGATACGCAGCCTCTGGGCCATAATTAGTAGAAGGCTTTCCTGTACGACATCCTGAGATCAAGCTAAGGTTCGCTCACTACCTCGATCGATCTCGGAAAGACGCTACCGACTACGATACGCTTAGGAGGTGGTTTACACTACACAATAAGACTGCGGCAAAGTCTGGGACTTGACTGAGGATTAATACAATATGGATAAAAAGGGCTTTATAAAAGGTGTTGTTGATAGCTGCGAAGTTCTTATTGACGTTCAAGATGAGAAAGCTTGGTGTATTCAACCTGGCGATCGAGACTGGGTCTCTGTAATTGAGGCTATTAGGATGAGCGGATTCTTACCTCTACCTTTGTAATATTCTCAGGAAAGCAAATTTAACACTCATGGATTGGCGCCTCCATCGATCCCCGTACAGTTATTCAAGTTAGCACCGCTGGCCAAACGGATCGCCAGATAGCCCTACGCTGGATTCAACACTTCGACCAATATACACGCTCTCGAATAGTGGATAACCATCGGCTTCTACTTCTGAATAGCCACAACTCTCATATCTCAATCCGAATTCATACAGTTCTAAGAGGAAGCAAAGATCATACATATCTGCCTACATCCTCATTCAACACACGCTCTACGGTAACCGAGTGTTCAACTATATAAGCCTACTCAGCCATTCTGGCAGAGGGGTTGACCTTTTTTTTCTGTAATATCTACAACTCCTTGACGTTAGCATCTTCTCACCTTTGGTAAAGCCTTATAAAGAGGTTCGCGATAATAGTCTCTTCGGCGCGGAGGGAATTACTAGTAACCAGTTTCTCATCTTCTTTCAGCGAGCTAGACAGAAGGCAATTACGAAATACAACATTGCTAGCGCCTGGAGAAAGGCAGGCCTTCTTCTATACAATCCTTCGTCAGTGCTTCAGGGTATAGACCAAAAACACCACGGTTTATTAGCCTTACCAACGAGAACGGTGTACGAATTGATATTCAAGCCACTCAAGGTCAAGTAGAAAAGATCAACTAGTTTGTTTCCGAGGTGCTTCCAGGTGTTCCTCACTAGTTTCGTTCTCCAATTAAACCCTTAAGAATATTGGTCTAACTGCTCTTGCTAATAGATCGGTTCTCCAAATTCTAAACAACCGCATTGTTGAGACGCAGAAGAAGGGTAGAAAGAACTGTACAAAGAAACACTTTGATGATACGAGAGTTCTTGCCATTGAGCAGTGCTTGAAGAAGGAGAAAGCAAGGGAGGCCTGGGAAAGGCAGGAATTAGATGCAAAAGAACGGGCATTTGCTCTTCGAGGCAAAGTACGGCCTGCAACACTAACCTAGAGGGAGCTGCCAATGGGTTTTGATGTATTTACGGCAGAAATTAGAGATACACAAAGTATGGTTCACCTCAGGACTCCAACGCGCTAGAACTAATTAGGCAGTTCTAGAGAAATTTGATAGTCCCAACAGGCGGCCAAGACTCTACAACAATGTAGCATGCTCATCTAGACGTCCACTTGACCCGATCATAAAAGTTCTCTCTGTACATGAGACTAAGGCCCAGATAATAATCCCAACGAGACCTTTAAGTTTGAGATCGGGAAGAAGAGGTTCAACAATCGGAAAACTCTCCCGTTAATACATATAGAACAGACGGGAAGGCAGTCTCCTCATCAGAGAATGTCGACTTCAGGTCCGCGGCTCTTAGGTAGCTCTTCATTCAGAGCACTAAAGTCGCACACGAAGAACTGTATCACTTCCAAAAACCTCCAAATACGATAACGCACAACGGCGACAGAAGGCTTCACAGCGCTGATTTTATGTGTATACATGAAGAAATTTTGGACACACCTTAATACGGAAGCTCAGGCGCAAGGTAAAATCTCTGGGTTTAATTTAATTAACTTAGAACGATGTCCTTCCCTTCATTTTATTTTCAAGCCCTACTTCCCGTTGACTACTCCGGAATATTGTGGTCCTTTGCCCCACACCTGCTTTCCGCCTATAGGACGACGCTACGTGTTCATTCAAAGCACCTGTCTGGCTAGGCTTTTCGTAAAAGTTTTCTCGATACATGCCCTCAGGGACCGCATAATCATCCCAAAACAATCCTCGGGCTTTGAGCTCAGGTAGAAGAAGGTCGATTATGTCCCTGAAGGATTGCGGGAAGAGGGTGTAAGCGAGGTTGAAACGGTCTACATCGGCTTCTTTCACCCATGTCTCCAAGCTGTTGGCTACTTGCGCGGGAGTTCTAACGAATACTGGGCCATTTCCACCAATGCTGACGTGCTCGGCAATCATATGCTTCGTCCACTTAGATCTGGCTGGCGAGAAGCGAGCGTATCCTTCGACAGTCGATCTCACAGCGTTGCTCTCGACATGTCTCAACTCTTCCTCATCGCCGTATTTCCCCAAGTCGATCTCAGTCCAGCCACCAAATAAGGCCAGTGCACCTTCGTTGAGAGGCATATTTCCTATATTCATCGAATTTCGCTTGCGCTTCGGCCTCCTAGCTCTTAATGTTAGTAGTGTTTAAGTATTTAATTACTTTATTAATGTTAACAACTAATTAATTGTAATTAGTTAATTTGCGAGAACTTTTAGCTGTAGCTATAGTATGGTAGTAATAGTAATGTAATATAAATTAATATTTATGATTAAGCTATACAGTAGTATTATTTATTATTAAGCAATGTAGACCCCACTTAGTAAGACCCCTTCTATAGAAAGAGTGTGTGATGTCACGGCTAGCATATCCTTGGAATCGACGTTTGAGTTGATAGTTGAGATAGCTAAAGTTGACTACTCTAGAACAAAGTTGATGAAGGTACGCAGGGCCGAAGTGCTTAAATAGACTGGTGCCAAGGCACTAGGCCCAAAACAGGTAGACGATCATGTGACCCGAGCGCACTTCAGGTGAGCTGGCCGTCACATGTGAGCAACTAGTAGAACCTAAGTATATTATACAAAAATAAAGCTGCAACCACTTTTATTTCTACGTTTTCTATCTGGTACTCTTTTAAAACTTTGAGTGAAGACTCTAAGAATACTAAGGCCAAGAACCTGTTTCTATAGCTAGAACTATTTTTCCATTAGTGAGATGGCCTCTTTACTACGGCTTTCTGGCTTCAACGTGAAACGCGAAGTTGGCCATGCTAGTTAGCACGTCTAGATGCTCCGCCCCAAGTACTCTCTTCTCGTCTCCATTACTTACACCTCCAGCTCTTCGACCTCTTTCCACCGCCCTTGATTCCTGTACGTCGATACTAGGTTTGCTCATGCTGGTTAGCGTATCTAGATGCTCCGCCCCAAACACCCTCTTTCTCGTCTCCATCACTTGCACCTCCAGCTCTTCGGCCTCTTTCCACCGCCCTTGATTCCTGTAAGTCGACGCCAGGTTGCTCATACTGGTCAGCGTGTCTGGATGCTCCGCCCCAAACACCCTCTTTCTCGTCTCCATCACTTGCACAAACAGCTCTTCGGCCTCTTTCCACCGCCCTTGATTCCAAAACGTCGACGCCAGGTTACCCATGCTGGTCAGCGTGTCTGGATGCTCCGCCCCAAGCACCCTCTTGAACGTCTCCATCACTTGCACAAACAGCTCTTCGGCCTCTTTGCACCGCCCTTGATTCCAAAACGTCGACGCCAGATTACCCATGCTGATCAGCGTGTCTGGATGATCCGCCCTAAGCACCCTCTTTCTCGTCTCTATCACTTGCACCTCCACCTCTTCGGCCTCTTTCCACCGCCCTTGATTCCTGTACGTCGACGCCAGATTACCCATGCTGGTCAGCGTGTCTGGATGATCCGCCCCAAGCACCCTCTTTCTCGTCTCCATCACTTGCACCTCCACCTCTTCGGCCTCTTTCCACCGCCCTTGATTCCTGCACGTCGACGCCAGATTACCCATGCTGGTCAGCGTGTCTGGATGATCCGCCCCAAGCACCTTCTTTCTCGTCTCCATCACTTGCACCTCCAGCTCTTCAGCCTCTTTCCACCGCCCTTGATTCCTGTACGTCGACGCCAGATTACCCATGCTGGTCAGCGTGTCTGGATGATCCGCCCCAAGCACCCTCTTTCTCGTCTCCATCACTTGCACAAACAGCTCTTCGGCCTCCTTCCACCGCCCTTGATTCCTGTACGTCGACGCCAGGTTGTTCATGCTGGTCAGCGTGGAAGGATGCTCCGCCCCAAGCACCCTCTTTCTCGTCTCCATCACTTGCACAAACAGCTCTTCGGCCTCTTTCAACCGCCCTTGATTCCAAAACGTCGACGCCAGGTTGACCAGGCTTTGCAATAGGTTCTTATCACTTCCATCAAGGCTATTTCTGTCTTCGTTCAATAGTGCCCCAAACAGCTCTTGTGATCTGTCATGTTTTCCCTGGCTTTGATAAAATCTCCCAAACGAATTTGTCTCCTTTCTCATTTCTGCGCATCCGAGCGCTTTGGTAAGCTTGATATGCCGTGAACTGGTCTGACAAGATTCCAGATGTGCCAGCAGTTCTTGTCTCCTAGACGAATGCGCGACTTCTGCGAAAGAAGATTCCACAACCACACTCATAAGGGTTATAGCCTCTCGTAATATCTTTTCTCGATTCAATCGCTTCCGTTCTCGTAACTGGAGCCAGTCCCTGATCACCGGATGGATAGAGAACCAAACTATAGGCTTCTTTTCAATGCTCTGCACCAAGGAGAGCCGACGAAGACGCTCGATAACTGACCAGAACTGATCCGTACTCCAGCTCATCCGTTCACGTGTGCTCACAAAGGATGCTTGATCAGTATCTGAGTCGGTCTCTTCATCCGAGAGGCTTCTTGAACGTCTAAAAATGTCGAGCCATGGAAACGGATCGTCTCCTTCTGCAACATATGTTTCGTACAGATAACTGCCGATGTGTGAAGGCTCGAGAAAGGCGGCGACGCCAAGGAAGCGCGCAACATGATCCTTACGTACCTTATCGTGCCGCTCAACTTGTTCGAATGACATTTCCCACGTTGTAAATGCGTTAAACGCTTCGCTTTGCTCTGACCCGTCTCTTAGTTTCTGGTACTCCCAGAGTTCCTCGCGCATATATTTCAGCACTTTTTCTTTCTTCTTTTCGTAATCGTTAATAAATTCTAGTAGGGTTATCCGATTAAAGTGAATATACGCAGCGGCTTGTTCAATTGCGAGAGCCAGCCCCCCTAGCATCTGAACAATTTTTTCTCCATCGGCTTGGCTATTTTCTATCTCCTCGGTCGACATGTCTCTGAGCAGAAGCTCAACGCCTCCATCATTAACCATTGACGGGATTCGAATATGTCGCCCGAGCACTTTTGTTGTCTCGTGCCGGCTTGTCAGGATTGTCGCTCCTTGTCCACCTAAGGAAATTAACATAGAAACATTTAATAAGGAGATAGACTCACTTTCAGGTAGGAACCTTTTTATATCCGGGAACACATCAGGGCGGTCATAGTTATCATAGACCATTAGCCACCGCTCCTCCCATCCTTGGACCGTGTCTAGCACAAATTTTACCTTCGACTCTGTATCTTCTAGAAGTCTCCCAGCTGATCGATTCAGTTCTTCAGCAATTCGTTCAAAGCTCCGTTCTAAAGTTGCTTTTGACGTTGCATCGAGCCAGAAAACACCGCGACAACTCTTCTTAAGCTTCCGGCATATTTCTAGGGCAATCTGACTCTTGCCTTGCCCGCCTAAGGCATGTAACACAGCTACGTTGGGCTTATCGTCCCGTCCCCGCGGCCCCAGCAGGAACGTTTGCACGTCTGCAATCAGCTCTTGTCGACCGAAGAATCGAGATACGGCAATATGTGGAATATAGTGGTATTTCCTGGGTTCTAGAGCTTCAATAAACTTAGTCCATGTGCTTAGCTAGTAATAAAACACTACATACGTCTCCTCCGCTCTGAAATTACTTCCTGTCCCTGGTTATACATGGATTGAACGATACCGCAAAGGGTTTCAAAGTCTTCCTCGTCTGTACTTCCAAATTTGTTCATATTGAAGTGGTCGCGCGACAGTGAGTATTTGTTACGAGCAGAAGTAAGGTCCAAGGAACCCGAAGTTTCGCCAACAAGGATTACGCTTTTGATAACCTGAGATTTGTTAGAACTCGCAGTTGTCCTTCATGGAGTTCGTTACCTTTTCTGGATTCCTCCCTAAAATGGCGCCAATGTCCGTGGCTCTTTGCTCATAGAAACAGGCGATCTCCGGCGCCCTACTTTGCCTTGAAATTCGGTGGTACATATCTATGAGGTCAGAAAGCGATTCATCTCCGGCTCGAAAAATCTGAAGATTCTCCCCATGGACATAGCTGGTCTGAAAACGCTCCTCTGCGATTCGAAGTATCTCGCCCTGAGATAACGCGTCGTTGGTCCCTCTGAACGGTGTTCCGAAGAAAAGCAACCCAATTGTAGAATCGTATATTCCAAGCCATTTTTCTCGTTCCACATGTGCATCAACCAGCATCTAGCTTTGGTGAGCGAAGTCATGTTGGCGATACGCTTTGTCTGCAAACCTTCAAGACTACCAAGCCGCCAAAGCTATGCGCAATTAGGATAAGCGGTCGCCATGGGAAACCCTAAAAGCCATATAGTTAGTATAATGCCACCAAAATATCCAGAAACTACTCACCTCTCTCTTGCGTTGTAAAGCAAGGAGAAGTCTTTGACTGATCTCCGCACATCTTGTCTTGATTGCACCCTCGCCAAACCATTTTGAATGGTAGCCATATCTCATAATCCGCGCTTGGGGAACTATAGCCGGCAGCATTGTCTCGTCTTTCAGCCAATTCACGTAGGTTGTGTTATCGCCGGTTCCGACTTGTTTGCACCACGTATCATCAGGGTGTGCTCCCATGCCGTGAATGGCAACGATACTATCACGGCATCAGTAATGCCTCTTTCCTTGGTATAAGTTGCATACTCGACATTGCCTGCCGCTGTAGGATCGGTTTCGTCGTGAATGATTTTGAGCCCAACATCTTGGTCGGTAACCGGTCGTACCTGGCGGTTCCGTTAGCACGGGTTACGGGAACCAGCAGAAGAAGTTGGACAACCATGATTGCCCACAGTAAATTTTGTTCTAGCAATGTGTTGTTTTTCTCCTGCGCAGACTAGTCATTTAAAGAGGAGCTGAAGGTGTGCACACTGTTTCTCAGCGTTCTCCGGTCAAGTTGCGACTGTTGAGCTTGCCGCCGCTGCTTAACCAGGACTCAAGTCCGATGTCGTCTTCAGTGATAGGCCAAATCTTGGTGACTATTAGCGCCTCACTAAGCAGCGTCCTTAGCTTGTAGCATCTTTTAAGCAGAAGTGAGTGGAATAAATCCGAGTATCTGTGTATGCTTGAAGGGTGTAGTGGCTGTGCCGCATTAACCAACGCACAGGCTAAAACCTGTAGGCCATGGCGTAACAACCGTGCGCCTTTTCAAGTGACACGTCGCGCTGCCAGTAACTTAAGGACATGCCATCTTCCAGTCTGCCGTCTTTTACGCTTTTGTAGCTCGTAATTTTATTCTCTTTCGTGTCGCTTCTGCTCGTGCGATCAAGGTAATGCTTGGTTCCCCTCCATTCCCAGACAGCGCCCAGCGCCGCGCCGACCTTGACTTCGCCGACGGGGTGTTGTCTGGCGTTGCCCATTACCCCAGAAATTCCTTGCCTGGCCAACCGTCCATCATGCTCAGCGATCTTCATTGGATGAAACAATAGTAGATTTAATTAGCATCGCGGCTTAAAACACGCACCCCGCTGCTATTATTCTTGCCGAGAATTATCTTAGAGTTAGAACAGGCAAGGCGGATTAAGCGGGATCATGTCATTTAAAACAGATACAGAACGGCTATGAAAGCAGTTTCTGTGCTGCAAGTCGCCACCACAAACAGAGAGAACTCCATTTGATTATGTTGTAAATTAATTGTATTTAATGACGGCAATCTCTCAACTTGTTAGTACACGAGCCACCAGTACTGTCCAGTACTGTATGTACCGCTGTTTTACGCTTAACTTACGGTAAGGCGACTGTCAAGGAGCAAAATCTCAGCTACGCGGTTGGAGGGGAAGCCGGTTTCGCTAGCGACAATAAGTACATCAATTCCACGTCGAGTTCCACGATATGTGTCCTTTCGAAGGTTGCTCGCTCACATTATGTATGATGAAGAAAGAGGCGCCAAGACGTAGTCACTAGCATGCAGCACAAAGATATATGATATGCAAAACATATATAAGGAGAAGTTATAAGAGCACGCCTCTTTTCTCTCATGATTTCCTATGAACTTAAATGAAGCCCATCGATTTTCAGTATTGTTGCGGAGAGAAGAGCAGAGTAGAAGTGAGCCTTGCAAAAATGCCCAAGTGGGGAAATATCGTTCTCAAGCAGAGAAAGTGATTACAAATGTTGAATTTACTTCCGAAGGCATAATGGCTTTGAACTTCTGTAAAACGCCATAGTTTGGTCTATTTCTGTACCTGCACTGTCAGTGCCCCTAGAGACAAGAGGCAATACTCTTGTTTGTACGCTGGCTTGAAAACAACACCTTAGTGGCATTGTGACAGGATAGTGATCAGATGAAAAGGGGTATGATCCAAAAGGTTAATCTGACAAAATACGAATTTCCACAAAAAAAAGTGTATGAGTAGTAAAGCAGAGGTGTACGATTGTCACTCGCCTGTAAAGAACCTAAGTTACAGTATAAACACCGCGGAGAATAGACTGATAGTTAAGAAAGCTACCATGCAGCTGAGTTCCTTATCCAACATCATACTTTTCAACCACCACGATTATTAATAGTCTTGAGGGTCTTTGGAATCACCCTGAGTACACTTCTTGATCGCCATGAATGCGTTCTGCGAAGCTGATCAGCCAAAAGATTTAGGAGTACGCAATCATCACTTACAGTTGCCATCCAGACAAAAGAGTCTGCGCTGACCGGAGCCTTTGCGGCCTGATCGTCCTGATCGAGATCAATCAGTTCATGGCAGCGAGTGGCTTATTGCCGTCTTCATTGTTCACACCTACAATTGTGGGACCTTTGTCCCTTTTCGAAGGTTAGCGTCAATATTCCTTTGAACATGACAAGCTTGAATCGATATTGAATCCGGAGGTCCGCAACCTACGTCTTTCCACCAATGGCAAGAGACGTGCAAAAGTTCATGGAGAGCAACTCTACCAAAACCGTCCATCTTATCCGAAGGGTAGTCGTCGAAATCAGAATCGCAGGTGTAACCGCCCAGTTTAGGCAAGTTCTTTACCCGGCCGCAAAAGGTCGTCGTAGAAGTCTCATCATAGGTATATGTAACGGTACCCTCATTCTTGCAGCTGTCTGACAGGCCTGCGCCCAGTCCGAAATCATTCCTATCGACATTGGACAATCGCTTTCGCGACTTCAGGCCCAGCATCTGCATTTGAATTCAGATTTTCGTCCTCTTTCTTCTCAGGAATTATACGACGAAGGGGGGCAAGCACTTCATCTTTTCGCTCGTCGTCATCCTCACCGTCAAAGAATCGGCTGTAGACTGTCCCGGCCTCCGATCCAGATGCAGCACAGATATCTGGGAGGGCAATACGGCGCATCTCGTCAAACCCGTCATGTATTCTCTTCACAAGTGCATTGTCATCATTTTTTCTCATGTCGAAGTTACGTATTTTCATTCATTTACCCGTGCAGTACCTCCTCTAGGATATGAAGAGGGTTCGGCGCGGCGAACGACTCTACTAACGCCGCTATATAACGTTAGTATGACAGAATATACCATGCATAAGATCGTTCTCTGACCCGGGAACGTGGCTGCAGTTGGAAAGTACTCCAAGCAATCCAATTACGAAAATATTTTGCCAAACTCGGAACTGGATGTTTGATAGTAAGTCT